CCACTCAGGTGCAAGAGCTGAAAGATGTCCATGCGCATTTGCTGTGCTTCTTTGCGAATGACAAAGGGATTGCGGCTGTTGTTGAGCAAGTGAGCTTCCACGGCCAAAACATGCTTGTCTTCTGTGGGTCCTCGTGGGTCCTTTGGCTTGAGTATCGGTCGCTTCGGCGTGGCGCGTAGCCAAGGAATATCAAAAGCGTAGGAGCTGCCCGCGGAGGGAGCTTGCAAGGCAGTGTAGGGCGTCTCGTCGTGGTGGCTGCTGGCGGCGGTGAGCAGAGGGGCTGAGACGTAGCCGGAGGTCAACAAGGCCGGAACTTCGTCAAGGGTTGCAGCGTCGGGATCCCGTGTAGGATTGGGTTGGTCCCCTTCCGGGGTTTTGGAGGGCGCTTTGATTACAGGTTTGCGTTGCTTGGGTAGCAGGTAGCAGACCATGTTGGCTTGACCAAAGAGATCGGCCCCAGCCTCGATGAGGCGAGAGGCGGCGCGCCAATTGCCGATGCGACAGGCGGCATGCAACGGGGTCCAGCCCCATTCCACGCCAGGGTCAATGTAAGCGCCGGCGCTGAGGAGAAGCTCAAATATGGATTCTGCGAAGGAGTCGGTGAAGGCATGCTGTGTGGCAATGTGCATGGCCCGAAGACCTGGTGCGATGACGGGGTCAAGGGGACCAAGCGGCATGAAACGAAGCAGTTCTTGGACGGCACGCAAGTTTTTGGCTGCAATCGCGTGATGCAAGACAGTCGCCCCATCTGCATCCATGGAGCGGCAGGCAATGCGGGTGGTACGGCGCCGGTGTGGTTCCACCAAGCAATATCCTTCCCAAGCAGGGGTGGCCACGGATAGCATCAGAGCAGTGCGACCTCGCCAATCTTGTGCCGTCTCTGTCGAACCCGGATTGAAAGATTGCATCCAACATGAGTTGGGCATGATTACAAATGAGCAGAAGCCTGTTCCTTGGCATGGAAAAGGTGGAGGGAAGGTACAAACCGTTGCAGGCACCCGTTTCAAGCAGACGCCGTGTCTGCTGCACCAGACCGAGGCGACACGCTTGATGCAGCGCGAGGCGTCCCCGGATATCAGGCCGATTGACATCAGCACCGGCTGAAAGCAGGGCTTCCATCAACTGCGTCCAGAAGGTTGTTCACAAAAGCAACGTGAGTGTGTGTACTCGTGCGCATGTCTGTCTATGTGCATGTCTGTATGTTGGCGTGTTGTGGCAAGCTGGAGGAGAAGATGACCGGTGACAAACCGGCAAGGAGGCTGTGGCAATAGCGAGTTGAAGGGGGGAATTGCCGATTTCATCCACGGCATTGACGTTGGCTTGATGGCGCAAGGCTACTCGCAGGGCAGCCATGGAGTTGCACAGGACAGCCAGATGGAGGATGGTATGACCAGTGACGAGGCTAGCGTCAGGGTCATGACCGGCATTTATCAGGGCCTGAACTGTCTCTAGGTCCCCAACATATATGGCTACGAGGCAAAGTGTAATTGCAATGAGGCCTGTGGTGGGCGCTCACCAAGGCAAGCACAACAGGGCAGGGTGGACGCCATTTGAGAGCGGCATTGAGTCGAACGAACCAAGATGAATGGGCGAGATATGTAGGGGTGACCACGTGTTACGTGGGGTGCGTCGACTCATGTGCTCGACAGTGACGGCTATAGAGGTGTATGAGATGGACGTGAGATGGCATGACAAGTGGAGACATTGCAGGAAAAAAGGAAATTGCCCGAAACTAACCATTATTGGCAATGGCTGAGAAGAGCCGCCAAGGCGAGGCTGCATCAGCGTGGCATGGGCGCCTGCGAAGCAGGGAAAAGAAAGGCAAAATAACAGAGCAAGATGCAGTCAAAGTAGGATCGAGATGACAAAGGAAGCGTGGTGCATGCTCTGCTCAACAAGCATGTGTGCCAACTCTGGAAGCACGGAGCTCGGAGAGGAGCAAGGACACGGGATGTTGACAGCAGGCAGGGGCACCACGTACGCGCGAAAGTAGCGGGCGGCAGCTTTCAGAAGAACGAGAACTTGATGAGGAAATCGGTCTTGAAAGGTGACAACTTTGCGCAAGATGCTGGCGCCGCCGGCGGCCACCAGCGAGCGCGGACGCGGGCGCATGGTGCTGGGTCAATGCCAAGAAAAGGCAACGCAAGGCGGCCGGGCGGGCGCCGAGGAAGAGAGCGTCAGGCGGGTGCAGAATGCAACATGGCCTGCTTCCTTGACTTGCAGCGGGGAAGGATGAAGAAGTCGAGCAAGGGGCTGAGCTGAGCGACCAGACGCCGAGCCACAAACTGCTTGGCCTTTGGCGTGCAGAAAACGAGGATGCAGCCGGACCGGGTCGGCCACTCCAGTAGACGCGTGTGGTCTGCAAACCTAAAAAAAAGAGGCAAGGTCAATCAATACCAGAGAGGGAACCAGGCCAGTGAGCATCAACAAGCGAGACATGTGTGTGTGTCTGTGTGTGTGTGTGTGTGTGTGTGTCTGTGTGTATGTCTGTGTCTGTGTCTGTGTCTGTGTCTGTGTCTGTATGTGTGCCTGAGCTCGGGCCCGAACAAGAGGATAAGGACAGGGATGCGATGCAAACTTGATGGCCCATCAGCTAGATTCCCTCTCTGCACACACACACACGCACACACACCCATGCCCGACGGCGCCGGCAGTCCGTATCCTCCCCAACAAGCCCCCCCTGCTCCCAACCCGAGCGCTGGCCCACCGCTCGGCGTGAGTCCTCTCCCTGCCACACTCACACACTCCCCACTCACACGCGGCAGGCATACACTATACACATACAGCTACAGATACAGAAATAGAGGCCAGGAGACGAGCGCGACCCGCTGCCATAGACACCCCCCCTCAACACCCCAGACAAGGCAGGTCCCTCCTCACTGGTGTGTACCCTCGGATGTGTGTGTGAGAGAGCGAGAGGGAGAGAGCGCGCGGGTGTTTCGAGCAAAGAGAGTGCACCGCACCGCGGCGTTGCACCGTTGACACCCCCCCCGTGTAATGAAAGCTGCACGCACGCACACACACACACACGCACACACGCACACATACACGCACACATACGCGAGAGAGCGAGCGAGCGAGAGAGAGCGCGCTGCCGTACCTCACACACACACACACACACACACACACACACACACAGACCAGACCAGACCAAAGGAGGTCCGAAAGGTAATAAAGGAGGTAAGTAGTCAATGGTAAGGCATTTGACGGATCATCATGATGTTCAAGGGTGTGGGTTGGGTGTGGGTTGTGTGTGGGTTATGGCGCATGTGGGAGGTGTTGTGACATTCCTTTGTTTGTGCTTTTGTTTGTGGGGCTTGGACTTTTTCTTCTGCCTCTCTCGCTCTCTCTCTCTCTCTCTCTCTCTCTCTCTCTCTCGCTCTCTCTCATCTCTCACTCAAAAACCCTCTCTCCTTCCAAAGCCTCCTCTCAATCTCAAGCTCTCACCCTCCCATTTTCGGTCACTCCCTCTCGTTGCCGATCCGGCTGCTGGTGGAGCACATACGGAGATGTGGCAACAAACCAACCAATTCACCCAAAAAAAATTTAAACAAAAAGCCATTGGGGCTGCAAGATCAAAAAAAGAAGCCGTGTTGTTGCAGAGCCGCGCCGCGTTGATGCAGCGACTGGTCGTCATGTGAATACCCTGCCTTTGGTGTGCCTGCTCGACTTGTTCCCATGCCAGCATGTTGTTGTGGTAGCCATCACTCACCCCCTTGTGTTTGGCATCACCTTACGCTCCATTTCATCATGGCAAAAGCCCTAAACGTCTCCCCAAAAGGATGCTTGCCCTCAAATCAATTCACACTTGGCAATGCTTGGGATGCTTTGTGGTAAGCTTGGTGAAGAAAATTTCGACTGGAGGGGATCTTGTTCAGGGTTTGGGACACCCGATCGGGAAACCACGGTCAACTACCCCTTGGAAATAAATAGAGTTTACTTTGCAGGTGGCTACTTAAATTGTTGATAACAGCTGTTGTTTTATATTGTTGTGTTGTTGTTGTTGTTTCCCGGGAATGTTCAAAATCAAAAAAAAATCATCCAAAAAAAATCCCCCCTTGAACAAAAAACGGTTTTGAATGAACAAGACGAAGGAGCAAAATTCAACACTTGGTTCAACAGCAACAGCCACGATCGTCCGTTACGCGGTGTCCTTGTCCTGGTCAGCCATCACCAGCACACACTTTTGACGCCTTGGCAAATTCCCAGTCTCCTGGTCTCCCTGACCACCCACCACCACCCCCCACACAGCCCGCCGCCATCATGGCCCCGACGACAAATCAATTGGCGGTCACGTTGGAGCGCCTTATTCGGCCCGAAGATTGGACCGCCATTCCCGATGCTTGGGTCACCGCCGTTCATGCCAACTCGTACTGCGACATCAACGGTGCGGCTATCAAACGAGACAAACGATTTCCTCCCATCCTTCACCTGCACACCCACAACCGCTAGTCGACCTTCCCGCGACGCCCCTGCCAACGTCCAACTGCCAACGTCTAACTGCCAACCTCATGCCAACCATCTAGATGAACCCTCGGTGAGGTCCATCGTGAACAGCCTGGCCCCATTGGCCGCAGAGCTCGAGGCAGCCCTCGATGGCCTGGACCTTGCCGAGAGCACCCACAATGACGACGGTACACCCAGACACGCACCCCACGATTTTCCTCTCGACCTCTCGCCGCACCTCACCCTGATGCCCACCTCCAATCTTTCGCACATAGAAGCCGTTTGGTCCATGCTCGTTGCGCGTGCCGGCTCCGTTGAAACCACGTTGGCCGTGGCAGCCTATGCCATCAAGCAAGACCAGGTCAGCTCACCGTTGCCCGCCACGCTGCGATCAACAAATTACCACCCGAACGTCTCACCTAACCCACATTGTGCAGAGCACGCTATGGGCTCGTGTGTACATGGCCCTGGCCTGCACCCGAGGCGCCACCTCGCACCGTGTCTGGTCCCCAGTCCTTCTCCGCAGCGTCGTTGACATTGTGCGCGAAAAACCCAGTCCTCAACTTCTTCAGGCCACTCGCAACCTGGTCATTCGATGCGCTGCTTGCCATGCCATGGACGTTAGCGATGTTCTCAGCGCGGTCAGTGCACCTGTGCGCAGCATACCCCCCTGCCTCTGCCTTGTCTGCTTCGTGCATCCTCCCCCCACCATGGCCGGAGTTTGCCATGAGCTGACGCCAAACCACCCCATAAACACTCCGTCTTGACAGACCCTGGCGACGCTCGTTTCTCGTCATGCCCGCCAACTAACCAATGATGCGCAGTCCAGTCTGCCCAACATTGCCCTCGAGGTACACCACCCTGTCCCAACAGAGGCTCTCATACGTGATATCGTTGTTCTTGACAAGCAGTGACTCCTGTGCTAGGCCTTGTTGATGCTCCTTCCAGTGACCGACAATGCCAACGATGAAGCCCGCCATAACATGACCCTGGTCGCACGCCGCCTCGTGGACCTCTGGCTTCAGCGCCCTCTCGGCGATCAAAATCAGAGCTCGCCCAGCCAACTCGCCTTGGCCCGGACAGCTGCCATCGAGGCGCTCCATCGCCGACTGATGGCCCAAGACCAGGCCTCACTGCCCACTAAGCACACCCTTGTGCGCCGCCTCGTGCAGCATGTTGGTGTGGCCGCCACCGACAAAACCGCCACCCGCGTAGCTGCGAGCGCCGCTGCCTCCGCTCTCATGGACGTTCTCGACCGTCTGGACGCCCCGCAAGCCGTGTGGGACGATCTCCGCGATTGGCTTTGGCGCCTGTGCCAGCACACTCGAAGCCACTGCCGCATCATGGGCCTCGAGCTCCTCTCCCTCTTGGTGACCCGCGTAAGTCTCTTTCCACTGCTGAGCGCGTCCGCCTTGCAAAATGAAGCCATCTTGCAAGCTTTATCCACACCACTGTTGCCCTCACTCTGGGGCCTGGTGGTCTTCTTGTGGCAGCCTACCGTTTGTCAGCCCCAACATGTGATTGACAGCCTCAAAGTCATGATCAAGTACGTTGTTTGCTGAACGGACCGAGGCATCTATATTCCATCCTTTGCTCTCAACACCCCTCCCCCCCCTTTCCCCTTTCCCCAGGCGAGGCAGTGACCGTGTCGGCACGGTGCGCCAGCAGGCTGTTGCCATTCTAGCCCGCCTGCTCAGCGAAACCACTTTGACCAGCCATATCCAGCCATGCCGCTCTGAGCTCCAGAGCCTGGCAATTCGTCGACTCAAGGACAGCAAGAGTGCTGTTCGCAAAGCTGCTCTCTTGCTCTGTGGTCAAGTTGCGGTGCTCGCAGAACAGCCCGACTCCCTGGTTGGTCCGCTCCACTGCGCAGCGCCAAGACGGTGCATGCTTGCGAGTCCAAACGCCAACGCATCCAGCTCGTTGGGGAAGACCTCCCCCAAAATAGGCCTGCATTGATTGCAACACGGCGTCCCCTTCTTCTTCCCTAGGTTGAACTGATGGCCCTCCGAACCATGGATGCCGTTATGACCGTACGCAAGCAAGCCCTGCATACCCTGCTGGAGCTTTTGCAAAGTGACTTGCTCGTTCAATCTACCCTCGTCCGGTGAGGCTTTCATCTTTGCCTAATCCGCCTCCGACAGCTCGCATCCAGCTCGACGCCCTCGGATCGCTGTGCTCGCCTTTCCCAGTGACCTCACCCTGGTTTCATTCACCAACGACCCTAGGCCCATGATCTCGGCCATCATGCCCATGGTCATTGATCGCGAGGATGCCATCAAAAGCGCGTATGTGTCTTGCTTCTCTGCCAAGTGTTGCAACTTTTTTAAAAACTGCCTGTGATGCACTCATTCAAACTTATGCCTCTGCTCAGCTGTTGCATCGGACTTCGCGACCTCTTGATTGGCGAGGTCGAGAATCGCAATGACGCTGTCATTCTCGTCCACTTGGCCCAATTGCCCGAGCTGCGGTAGGCACAAACGTTGATCACCAGAGACCCGTCACCCGCATCGCAGACGACAACAAGTCCGTGGTCACTCGCAACAAACACCCAACCCTCACTCAGATTCCCCTTCTGTGACAGATCTTTTCTCCATCGCGCCGTACAGTTTTGGGATGAGCGAAATCTTTTGAATCGCACCTGCGTAGATTATGCTCACAACCTGACCCAAGACGAGTCAATCACCACACAGCAGGTAGTGTCGACGATGCCATGAAGCACCGCACCGCACCGCACTGCACTGCACCAAGCAAATGTTGCAAACAGCCTCTGGGCTGGAGCATCCATCTGCCCGAAGCCACATCCCCTCATCCTCTTGCCCGTGGGCCATTTATGCGATGAATCAACTAGGCTGGTTGGATGCTTCTTGCCGAGTTTTCGGGTCATGTCCCGCAGCTCTTACGCTCAGCGGACCTCTATCAAGCCTGGCTGCGTCGTGAACCAACCATGGAAGGCATTAACACTAGCATTTTGCAGTGCTTGGCAGCCAGCACCGCCCGCCTGGCTGTGGCCGAGCAAGCCGAGCTGGCGTCTGACGTTGAGCACCTACTGGCGAGTGGTGCCCTCTCGCCGGGTCTCATCAGCATGGGACTTCAGGCCATGGAGCAACTACGCCCTGCCGACGCCTTTGCCCGTGTGTTTCGTTCTCCGTTCTCCTCATCTCCAGTCCTACACCCATAACAACCTGCCACTTTGACAAGGACAATGTCGCTGCGCAGTCTCAGCTTTGCTTGCCATCTGCCTGCGCCTTGTCTACTAGTGTCGCTGGAAAAGCTGCACGCCCACAGCGTACAACTTGCACGTGAGCTGACTGAGCGACAGACAGACCTCGAGGGCGACGAGTTTGTTACTGCGAGTCGCGCTATTTTCATGCTCGGTACGTTTGCCATGCTTGCACGCGTTGTTTGAATACACCTTGATAGCTCAACACGTCACTGCTTAACCTGTTGGTGGCAACTTTAGGCGAATGCTGCCTGCGTCGCCCTCACGCTAGCTCCTCGGCAGCCGTGGTGGTCGAGGCCCTCATTGCTCGTCCTCTCCAACAGGTGAGTCACCTTGCACGATAATTGCAGAAGCGAAGATGGGAAAAAACCGCGCCGATACTCACAGTGACGCAACGGGTCACGACGATAGCACGAGGAAGCCGCGATTGTACGGGCGCACGCATATTTGGCGCTGGGCAAGGTCAGCTTGAAATGTCGTTTGAAAACACTTTTCTTAAAGCGTGCGCCTTCCAGCTGCCTCCTCACTCTATACCCACTGGGCTTGTCCCCACAGATTTGTTTGCAAAGTGAGGAGCTGGCCAAGAAGTGGCTCGGCAGTATGGTCAGTCGAAGCGAATGCGCGGTGATACGAGCCGGTATTTTTCTTGATTCGACTTTTGACCACCTATTGCACCCTAATTCAATGAACCAAATGTATAGACACGCGAGCTTTCCTCCAGCGAAGCGCCGGCTGTGCGCAACAATCTCGTCATCATTTTGAGTGACCTTTGTGTGCGGTTCGTAGAGTCTGACAGACCGCTGTTTCCTCACAGTTCCCACGTGCTTCATGTCTTGGCCTGTTGTGATTGGTAGCTCACCGGCATGTGGCATGCCGTGTGATTTCAGGTACCCTACCATGGTGATGCAGTACCTTCCAACGCTCTGCAAGGCATTGGGTGATGATTCGCCCCTCATTCGACGCCAAGCCTTGACTTTGTTGATTCGCCTCCTTACGGAGGATTTTATTAAGCTGCGGGGCTCCCTCTACTTTCGCATGGCTACCATGCTCATTGACCACGAAGCGTCCGTGCGGCAATTGGGTAGGTCCACCAGATAGATGCCAGCGCCTTGGCGTGTAGCATGTCTTGGTTTTTCTCCCTTGTCTAGTTTTGTGCTCTTTTGCTTCTTTCGTGATCCGTGCACGGCCCATTGTCTCTTCCCGGCATGATCTCACAGCATGGGCCATGGCTGCTCAGCTTTGTATTGCTTGGTGCAGGTTTTGCATACCAAGATCCCCGAGCTCTTCAAGACGGTTGGTCAAAACGCAGTGTGCTTGATGTTGCGTATGCGAGGCAATGGCTGGCTAATCCTGTGACCTTGATTTGCGCCGATCCACCGGGGTGATGTCAACCTTGATACAGCATTTTGTGGAAAGTGTCTTTGTGTTCAACGCCTACAAGCAACATCAAAAGTTCAACCGATTCGAAGACCACAACCTCCGCCTGGCTGTACGCTACCCTCTTCCCCCATGCCAGGCTGCAATCTTTTGCACGAGTGCCCAGCTACGAAATCTCATGCAAGAATATGCATCCGTCTGCTGTGGTTTCTGCAGGGCCCGGAGCATCGTCAGGAGCGCGAGTACATTTACCATATAATGCTTCAAAACATGGACGACACGCAACGTCTCCAGGTCACGCAGGAACTGTGCACGGAGCTCTTGGGCGCAGTTGTAGACGACAAGCTCAACCTCGACGCAGCCCTCGAACCGGTTGTGCGAGATGCTCTGGCAATCTTGGCCAGCAAGGTTCGTCTTTTTCCCCCTTTCTGCTCTGCCCATTTGCGCCATGGCTGGATACTGGTAAATTGTAAGAATGTGCATTTGGACGAGTCAGCGGACTGATGGCAGCTGTGTTTGCCTGTGCTTGCGTGTGGTGATGGTTTTGGGCCATGCGGTCTCAGGATATCAAAGTGGGTCGAGCCAAGGAAGAGGACGACGATGAGGAGCTGCCCGTGGTTCCTGGCGGCGAGGAAAAGCGCAAGGCCACGCAGCACCTCGTGTCCAAGGTGGCCAAGCGCACTTTGATCGAAAATATCGTGCCCATGCTCTTGACACTCAAAACCAAGTTGGAGGAACACAAGTCACCTCTACAGCGTCCCTTGCTGTTCTATCTGCGCGAAGTGATTCGTGACAACAAGGCTGAAATGGATGGTGCGTGCGTGTGCGCTGGGACTTATCACCATTACCCCAGCTGGGTGCTTTCGCGTTTGCATTTGATAGCTCGATCCCACGCTTCTCCAAGGCAGAAGGAATTGCAGCGTGACCTGCATGAACGGCTACAATAACGGCTGCCCATCGCGTTGTGCTAGATGTTCTGGCGGCCAATCGCACGCTGGCCTCGGAGTTGGCCTATGACCTCAAGGCTCTCGAAGCCGAAGAAGGGTCTCGACGCTGCTCCATGTATGTCCAGATGCGATGAAACAGCAAATGACCAACCACTCTTGTACTTGCTTTCTCACGACATCTTCCCTTGTCGTCCATGCGCGCGCGGTACGGAAACAGTGCTTCCTTGGCAGGCACGCCAACCCATCATACAGACCTTTTGACTGCAACTTCCCCTCGCGTGAGTACCTTTTTATCCTGCTGACACTGATGGGCAAGGACTGACGGACTGACCAACTGCTGGTAATCCATGCACTGCGTTCCCTGATGACGCGAATTATGCTGTGTATAGACGCTGGTGCGCGCACGCACAACGGTGCCCACGACACACACTCCCAAATTTGCGGCTCCACAGCTTCGGCGTAGTGTCTCCGATGAGTATGTGTCTCGTGACCATTTCGTGCACGATGATGATGATTGGCGAATGCGGTTGCTGATGACCACCGAATCTTTGCCCTGTACGCTTGTTTAGATCTGCCCGCAAGCAACAACTCAAGCGTCTCTCCTTTGGTGGGGCGGGACCAAGCTCCTCCCCAACCAGAGCCCCGCTGACTCCCCAGCAAGGTATGCTGCCTATCGCCAGATCAAGCAACCGCTGGTCCACATCGTCCGTCCAATGTCTCATCTAGCTGCAACCGTGCCCCAGACCCCTTGATGGCTATGCTCAAGACACCGCGCTCAGAGGTCATGCGTCAGTCACCAGCTGCTGTGGATGAGCTTATTGTGTTGGCCTCACCTATGGGCGCCCAGTCGTACGTACACAATATTTTCTGCAAGTGCACTTTGGCGTGCCTCTTGGTGGGCACAGCCTTCTCACATTTGGCCTGCGTGGTTTTCGGACAGGCGTACCAAGCCTGCATCTTTGCGACGAGTGGCCACCATCAAGCAAGGCAGCACGAAGCGAGCCGCGCCGCAGAGCCCCGTGGTGGATGACCTCCTCGCCTCGCCTGCTCTGCCTGCTCCACAGAAGCGCATCAAGTGAATCATTTAGACATGTGTATATGCGCGCGCGCGCGTGTGTACGTATGTGTGTGTGTGTGTGTGTGTGTGTGTGTGTGTGTGTGTGTGTGTGTGTGTGTGTGTGTGTGTGACGTGAGTGGGAGTGTGTGTGCGTGTGTATGTGTGTGCGACCAAGCGCGTGATGATGCACCTGTGGCTGTGCAACGCATCCGTGGGCTTGCGTGCAACCCGTTAGCCAAGATCAGATAAAAGGTATGAGACAACATGATTCGTTTTCTTCTGTGTGTTACTTTGTTGTTGCTCAAAGTGGAGGCACGCCCCTCTACAAATTAATCCTTTTTTTTCAGTCTTGCTCTTCGAGCCAGGATCCAACCTCCCTGCCCCCACCACCACGGTCCCAAAGCCAAATTAGGGCTCAGAGAAACGCACTCAAAGACACGTTGCCCTCTTCTTCGCCTTGATAACCCGATCCATGCCGATGATCGCATTGCATAATCTGTGTGTGTGTGTGTGTGTGTGTGTGTGTGTGTGTGTGTGTGTGTGTTTGCGTTACAAGCAGAACTCCAACGTCGAGTGTCTCGTGTGTGTGTGTGATGATGATGATGATTGATTATGAAACAGAGCAGTTAAAGAGCGACCCCGCTGAGAAGGACGAGAAGCGACGATGGTTGTGTGAGGTTCGTGGAGACCTCCGTCAAGGCAAGCATGTCTGGGGAGGATGATGGCTCTTGCTCATTGGCCACTGTTTTTTTGACTTTGAGCAGCACGGGTGGACGGACTTGGGCTCCACGCCAGCAAACGTTGGCATAGCAGTTTACATGACGTAGGTCGAAGGCCACGCAGCTCGACGCAATTCGACTCAACGCACAAACAGGACACGCGGCCTTTTCTTGACCCGCGACCTTTTGGCAGCCATGGCAGACCCCCTGGTCGCATCGGACAAGCCGATGCCGCAGCAGCCGCAGACAGAGCCGGCGACTGACAAGGATGACGCTGCGAGCCAAAGCGCCATCACCGCCACGTTGCCCCCTAGCGTTAGCGGACGGGCTGCTAGTACCACGCCGCCTGCCCAACACCAACATCTGCATACGCTTGAATTTGTTGCTGACCTTCCCAACACCGCACATCCACAGCTGGCGCGCATCCGCCGCGAGCTTGATGACCTTTGTGCACCAGATGGCGCCGTTACAGTGGTGCCAGTGCTCGACCGCCGTGGCCGGAACCAACTAGTGGTTGGCGAAGGCCACATCTATCGTGCCCACTTCCCTGTACCGCCAGACTCCGCTTATGACTTTTTGAACGGCCTTCAGGTTGAGTTGACCTGGCCCTCGCCCCTTGACGACGATGCTCAGCCAGCCGTGCGCATTTGCCAGGTCTTTGAGCATTCACAAGTCCGTGAAGATGGCTTTCTGCCCCCAGCCCTCCTCGCTTTCAACCTCGACCGCTTGCGTGCTCGCGACACTGCATCACCCATGACCTTGGGCGAGGCCCTTGCTGCCGTGCTTGCCATGCTCCTACGTAACCCGCTCCCCGAGCCGCCCACTGCCCTGGACGAAATGGATGAGGAGGATTTGCTCGCGCTGTGGGCCGAGCATGATCCCGATTGCCATTGCCTCATTAATCAACTTATGCCCTGTTCCTTCCAAGACTTCCTCAACCAGACCGAAAGCGAGGCACGCGCTGATCGTCTGATTACCTTTCATGAAAACGTCGCCACCCGACACGCGCACCTTTTTACCCGGGCCCGGGATCACTTTGCCTTGCGCATGGGCACCGCGCGCCAATGGCTGGCGCAGACGCAACACCCAGCACTGTTTGATGCGGTGCGCGGCTGGCCCGAGACGTGGTTCCTGCCCAGCTTTTGGACGGCCATGCATGCACCCAATCCGGAGGCCGCCATTCGGTCCCTGGCGCGTGAGATTACGCCGGGCGTGTGGAGCTTTGGTATGTTTACCCCCGAGTTTTGTGATTTAATGGCCGCCGACCTGGCTGCCTACGAAAAGTCGGGCCTGCCCAAAACGCGCCCCAATTCGATGAACCGCTATGGCATGATCCTCGCCGACATGGGCATGGCCTCAATGCTGGACCGACTGTTGTGGGAAATGCTGAATCCGATCCAACGTGCGCTTTTGCCTGCCTTGGCTCAAGGATTGGCGCTCGACCACCATCACAGCTTTGTTGTGCAGTACGAAGAGGGCTTGGACGTTCACCTCGACATGCACACGGACGATGCTGAATTCACCTGTAACGTCAACTTAACAGACGACTTCTCTGGTTCAGGCCTGACGTTTTGTGGCATGCATGGCGCAACTTCCCATCGCAAACTGGCCGGCGTTTACCAACACCAGCGAGGACATGCCGTTGTACATGCTGGTCTCCACCGCCATGGTGCAGACCCACTGCAGACAGGTCGGCGAGAGAACCTCATCATCTGGTGCCGCAGCTCAGCTTATCGCCAGACACGTGAATATAAAGCCCGTTACGCCAACCCGTTCTTGTCGGAAGAGGCACCCGACCAACGTTGCCTTTCGACGACCCATGACCGCGATTACAGCCACTGGACCGATGTCTTTGCCCAAGCCAAGCAGGATCCCGACCAGCTGCCTCTACACCAAACGCACCCGACCATGAACGCCCGTACGGCCAATTTCTAAGGTCAATCAACGACGCATGTGGGAGGGGACGGGTGCTGGCGCTCTTTGGGAACCCTAAACTAGATTGCAGCTTTGGCTCTTGTGTTTTGAGACGAGCGATTAACCGTACGGACCAGGTTCATGCTCGTGCAGATAATTATTTGGTGTGCTTGCACCATTCTCTCTCGCTGCTCGCACCTGGATTGAGACATTTATTGGTTATGATTATTGACATGTCACAAATATCCCACAAATATCCCAAACGGACAATTAGACAAAAAAAAAACCCCCCCAAGTACACACTGAGGCCACGTCCATTCACTTTTGGCCAGACATCTCATGCACGCAATTAACACATTTTACAAGCACAGCTGCATTTGCCACAGCTGATCTCCCGTGAAGTACAAACACGGAATACTGTCAAGAGCAAACTTGACTTGTGGTCCTTGCAACAATTAGCGCCATCCCGTCTTGCTTGCTCTGCAAAATTGAAAAAAAAAAGGGCAAGACTGGAAGTAAGGGGAGAGTTGCCAAAGGAGCAAGCGCCAAAGTGACACACACGTACGAAAGAATTGAGTTGATCTTTCGCTGCTCGTCCTCGTCCTTGATGCCACGATCCATGGAGGGACGCTGGCTTCCACCTGAGTTGAGACCTCGCTTGACTTCGGTTGCGTGAGTCTTGCAGTACAGCTCCCCATTGAGCACATAGGGGCCGCTGACATTCTCGCCAAAGGCCACGCCGCATGTGGCACACTTGACACAGGCAGCATGGTAGTTGCGCTCAGCCAGCTGGTAGATGTGCAAAGATGTCAGAGAGGATGAATGCAGGCAGGATAATCAGAGTGAGTGGGTGGTGAATGGAAAGGATGGGACCATGCAAATGGAAAGTGACTTTTGAAAGCATGGGCAGGGCAGCTTACTGACCGAGTAGTAAGGGGCCTGCCCGTTTCCATCCGGAAGAATGAGCTGATTGCAGCCAGCACAGAGCATGCCAGAGGAGGAAGCCCAACAGCTCTCGCACACGATGCCGCGTGGCTCAAGGCTGTACTTGCTGTCGGCGAGGGACACGCCGCAATCGACACACTTGATGCAATCGCGGTGATATCGCTTTCCGTCCAACTCCACAAAAGCGTCCGTAATCAGATAAGGGCAGCTGTGGCAGTCGTGCACCTCGAGCAAAAATGTATTTCCCTGTCAAGGTGGCAAGCCCCATAGTAAGAGAAGAGGGCGGACATGAGTCGTCATACATAGTGGTACCCCTAAAACACAAACACACACACACACACACACACACACACACACACACACACACACACACACACCCTGTCCCTCTCTCTTTGCTCTGATCTTGATGAGTAGTTGACTGTGCCATAGCCACACACCTGCGCATCTGTTTTGGTCACAACCTGCTTGCCGTTGCGCATAAAGGGCTCGCTAAAGGTAAGGCCGGGTTGAGCGCGCACCCGCGAGCCCGAGGATGATGGCTCAGGGACGGCCTGTGGCTCCGATTGCCGCCGAGCTGCAGCCTTGATGGCCCGGGTAATGTCCCCAGCCATGTTGGATGGGGCCGCCTTTGGAGTGGCATTGGGGGCGGCAGATGCCGAAGATGATGGGGCCGTCGTTGGCGGCGGAGGGCGAGCTGGAGCAGTTGTCGGGGGTGCGGGTCGGGCTGGCGCCACCTTGGGTGCGGGTGGGGCCACAGTTGCTGCGGATGCCGCAGGCACGCGAGGTTGCATGGGGCGTAGGCCCATGTCTGAGGTGGATGGGGTTTCCACCTCCTTGGGAGCCGAGACGGGCTTGTGCTCTTCAGGCATTGCCACATGACGAAGGCCTGTCGATTCCAAGTCAAGACCGCTTTGGTCAACGGCGCCTTCTGCAGCCACGGGGGTGGCCTCAGGGGCTGGCGCTGACTCTGCATGCTGGGTCACGGGGGCAATGGCCGTGGGTGGCGGCTTTGAGGCAACAACGGTGGGCGGCTCAGCTACGGGCGCCGACGTCGTTGCAGCCGCAGCTGTGGTGACAGGTGACGAGGGATTCGATGAAAAGGCGTTGAGCGAACCCACAGACACGCGTGGTTGCGATGCTCGCACCGACGTTGAGGCTGCGCAGCCAGCACAGCACATGCAAGTTAGAGGCATGCGAAGCTTGGCAACCACCACTTGGATGATTGCGTAAACCCAACCGGATTGTGGAACAAATGCCCATGGACTGACATACCCATGCGAGACGATTGCTGGGATGGTGCCTCCGATACAACGAGCGTGAGCTCGGTCTTGGCCTGCCCGACCATGGCCACGAGCTTGGTGTGGGCCTAACGAGTCAAGAGCCAGTGCCGTGCAAAAAGGACAATAGGTGTGAAGAGCAGCCAAGGCTCATGGTTCGTCATGATTTTGGGCCTGACGCACCATGCCCGACGTGTCTTGTCCATTGATGGAGAGGATGCGAAAGCCATCAACAAGGCCGGCCACCTCCGCCGGGGAGCCTGGCTTGACCTATCGTACAGTTGCGCATGAGCACAGCACACCGAGGCGCACCGCGAGCGCATTGAGAGCTTGAAGGCCACAACCGGACGTCTCGGAGCAAGGCAGAAGAGAACCCCAACAAACACACGGCAAGACCCGTGCCTACCTTGGTAATGACATTGCGAGACACGTTAAAGCCGTACCCCTGCGTCGCAGCCTTTTGCAGCACGACCTCGCGACTGTCCGACATGGTGATGGTGACAATAACAAGGCGAGCGCCGATCAAAAACAATGCGCCGAAAGCACAACCTCTCGTCACCAAACGTCTGCTTTGCTGTGCCGTCCGGCTCAAGGTTTTAAGCTTCAAATGCGCGAGCCAGGGAGAGGCGGGGAGCGGGGGTGAGAAAGCGAGCACAAGAGAGCTCGTCGAGTTGAATGCTATGCTTGCCGGGAAAAAAAATGCACGAGCGCCTCTCACCCTTACTTCTTCTGTTGAATTTTTTGAGAGAGGCGAAGAGCTATGGAGCGACAAAGACGACTTTTGGCTTTGAAATTACTCGTATCCAGAGAGATGAACGAACATGTAATCATCATCATCGACGTGTCGCGGTTCAAGGAGAGCACGAGCGCAAGGCATCACTGCCAACTGCCGACTGCCAAGCCAGTGGACGGCAGCCCTTGCCGCAAAGCAGAGCCATTGGGCTCTATCAAATTGAGCTAACTTCATCTACCCTCTTCCCCTGTCGCCCCGCAGGCATCACGCCGCCCATTTGCCAGAGCGCGACACGACACCCGTCGCCCTACGACATCTCACCCAGCGGACACAGCAAAATATATTCTCGAATACAGTGACCATGACCTTTGAATGCGTTGCGAACGGAGTGACCATAACTATTTTATTTACTGTGTTGGACGCTGCACTTTATTTTTGGCGGGAAACGGCTTTACTTTGTCGACAATTCCACAACAGCCATCGGCCGTGAAAGCAAAGATCCGAGAAAAGAGCTCAGTGTCAACACGGCATCAGGGCTGACTGTTGATTGCAAGCAAGAGCAGATCCTCGCGCGCACGAGGGCGCTCCTCGACGACAAGTGTCTTTGGCTTGGAGACCAGCGCCATGGTACGATGCCTCAACCGCCAAACCCAAAGTGATTTCTCTCAGAGCCTTCTCAACTGTGTGGCTTTTTTTTTTTTTTTTGTGGCAGGACTGGTTCTTGTGCAATCAGTGTCTGGCACCGTACTCCAACGCTGCTCGATTTTCGCTAACATCATGTGGTCACATATTTTGCTCCTCCTGCCTCGGGGAAGCCTCCGGTACGAGTTTGTGTCGCTTTCGCGCAAGGCTTCATTCCTCGTGCCACTCACGTCCTCAAGCCTTAACACTCATCAAACTATTGGGTGTCAGCAGCGTGCCCCACTTGCCACCAGACCATGACCACATTGCGGATTGAGCGTGAGGTGAGCTATTCGTGGCTACAGTCCTACGTGGGTGCCTTGCACAAGAGACGCAACGAGCAAAAGCATGAACGTTTTCTAATTTCGGCAGGTGTTGCTACCGCCCCTGCTATACGTCGCGCACCTCCATGTCAGATGGCCAAATGCAAATCCTTCTTCACAGCACCGGCTGACCCATACACTCCAGCGCTGGAACAAGCAGCCAAGGTTTGTACATCACCACCCCGTCAAGTTTTCAGATTTCGTACGGGCGCCCAAATGCATCAACGCTGAGTGCGAACATGCTTGTCAGGTATCAGCCTTTAGGCTAGCACAACTCAAGCTAGCGCTGCGGCGTTGCGTGGCCACCATTGACAAGTTGCAACAAGAACAAAAACGACTTCATGCTGAACTGGAGGCCCTTCGGTTGGTTTCGGCGCTGTTTCTCTGCTTTGAAAAGAAAAACAAAAAAAAAACTAAACTTCTCAACCGTGCACACCTGTGCCCGTGCGTCATTGGACTGGCAATCTCAAGTGTTGAGCGCACGTCGCCCGCCAACCATGTAGACAGGAACGTACTTTATCCGTACCGCCATCACGTGCCAACCAAGTCACAAATCACTTCCACACGCCCTTCGCCCAGCATGGCTATGCTTCGCCGGGCCCAGAGGCTAGCCAAACCAGCATCACCCCGGGCCGTTTGTCTATGCAGCTCACCTCTTTGCGGCAGCGTTCTCCGCGCTTCACCACTCCCCAACCCACCCCGAATACCATTGGCTACAATGCTCCTGCCCCAAGCCGTCGCTATGAAAGCCCTTCGGCAGCCCAGCGTCACAATACTGCGGCAATACGGGTGAGGCCCGACCATTGCTCGCTTGCATCTCACGTCGACGGCTGCCTCATCTTGCCTGCCTGACGCTGTGCCACAAAACTGAATCTATTTCAGCTGCGCATGGGTACACAGCCACCGGCCATTTTTGCGACACCGGCTGTGCTCCAACGCACCGAATCCGGATCACAGTCATTCGTGACCCCACGCGAAACCCAGCGCTGAGCAGATCGTGAAGAAATGCCATCATCTCACCCACGACCCGAGTGCGCGCGGTTGGGACATGAAGAAACCACTTCCCCACATTAGCATGCTGGTGGGCTTTCTTCTGTGAGAATAACTACAGACGACTGCTTGGCTCTGCTCTCGGTGGCACTTGGCTGCCACAAGTCAGAGCGAAACTCCCAGCGCCATGCAACCAACGCGTCACGTCTTTGATCACTGCTTGATTCGCCCTCTCATATTTTGCAAATGTAATACAATTCAAAGTGAGAACAAGCAAAATTCCGCCTACTGAGCGCATACCAGACAAACACCCAGACATAAACACCCTAGCTTGATGGACAAACACGCCGACAGGCGCCAGGGACTGGGCCCAGCTCAACAATGGCCGCTTTACTCCTCTTCCATTTCTGCGTCACCGTCCTCCTGCTGTAAATGGACTTTAAAGCGCGAAGGCAGTCCAAGCTTCCGCAGGCGCTGCTGGCCTTGGCCATGTCGCAGAACAAAGTTCCCTACCGGATCCTTCAAAATGCAATGAGCAACGTCACCCAGATTAAGGGAACCCACAAAATCAAAGAGCTCCCGGACTGTCGCATCGGCATAAAAACGGCGTGTCACTGTGCCCGAAGGCAGCTGAAACTTGATCGTGAAGGCCGATTTGTCATTGCCGGCGGGTTCGTCCCGCAATTGTTGGGCATGCGTTTCTGCACGTGCTGCTGCCGCTTCCTCTGCAGCGACCTCAGCACGGCGCATGGCTTCCGACTCAGCCTCGAGGCGCTGGCGATCACGCTCCGCTTCGGCCTCGAGGCGCTCGCGCTCAGCCGCCTTGGCTTGGTCTTCACGCAGCGAGGCCATATAAGCCTCATCCTGCTCGGCTACCAAATCTTGCCGATCCAGGCTCTCTACGCTTTGCGAAGGGGCCTGGGCGACCGTCTCCTGATAGAGAAGGGCTACCTCGGTCAGTTCGGTTGCCAAAGTGAGGGGCGACATGTGCCCCACGCGGAAGGCACGAGCAAAGCTGAAGATGCTGCCGTGTGGTGTCAAAATCAAAAGAGCCGGCAGCTCGCCTGTCAAGCCCTCTACCACTGCCACTGTGTCGCGGGTCGTGTCAAAGAGGTGCTGGCGCGCCTCGTGGCGACTGAAGTCGTGGCCCCAGAGCACAAAATAGGAGCTGAGTACCATCGAGACGTGCTCGTGCGTCAATTGATCCAGCGCAGCGGCCGAATCCACTTCACGATCATCGTGCACGTAGACAGCCAGAGGTCGCTGCTGCCGCCGCGCCTCTCGCACAGCTTGAGAAAAGTCGCCGCGCATAAAACTGGGAAATGGCCCATGCTGCGCTTCAAAGGCGCTGGCAAATGCACGGGCATTCCCGTTGCTCTCTGAATCGGGTAGCAGGAATTCGCCCTCGCTTGGCATGTCCTCCTCTTCCCGATGCAAGAATGCCGCCTCTAAATCGCGCACGTTGGCCTGCTCGCGTGGCAACGTGGCTGCAGCCACGGATTCGTCATCCGCCCATGAGTCTTGAACCCAGCCGCCTGGGCGAAAAGGGTCAAACGTGGTATCCAGGACCGGCTGCGCCTCGAAGCGTGACAGAGAAGAAAGACGTGGTGGGTCACCTGAGACCTGGGGAATGGCCGGAAAGATACTGCTGGAGGCTTGCTGCTCGTCGGCCAAGACCCTATTGGGGTGACCGCTGGCCGCATGGGAAGGCATGCTGTCGTTACTGGCTTCCAAATCAGGCACTTCATCCTCTGGGATGCGTAATAACAAAAGATGTAGCTCTCGCGTCTCCGGATTGATCAGATTCTGCAAACGATGAGAGTCGAGCGGGGGCACATCCACATCAAACCCAATCAAGTTCTGCTGCTGCACAGGCACATGAAAGACAGCTTCGCACATGTGCTTGAGTGCCCGTACAGTCGTGGCTCGCGGTAGCTGCCACTTGCTAGAGGAGTCTGAACCTGCAGCACTATCCGCCTCGTTCACGACAGAAATGGTCAAGTTGGTGTCGGCATCTGCGTCGGGTCCCCTATCACCAAACATGGCGGCCGGACTCTCCCGCATCGCTTGCTCAACGATTGTGTCAGAATCTACGAGACCTGGAGTATAAGCCGGGGGCGCGGGCTGAGCCGCCTGCACAGATGCCAAGCGCTGCTTTTCGGCCTCACGAGACCGGGCCGCCTGAAAGTCTTCCTCAGCCAACTGGCGGGCCATGATCTCGTCACCTTCTTGCTGTGACTCGCGAAGCGCTTGCTGCAGATCGGCATCTTCGCTATCGCTGCCCGGGCTTGCAAACTCAGCTCTGCCTGTTGGCATCTGATGTTGCGACTCGAGAAGGGCCTGCTGAAGGGCTATGTCCTCATCATCGTACTGGCCGTTTGTGGACGCGTCCTCTTGCTGTGACTCCTGCAGCGCTCGTTGAAAAGCAAAATCTTCGCCTGTATTTGTATTGGCTTGAGTGGCCAATGACGGATAGAACGTGGAATTTGACAGCCGATCAGCTACACCGAAGGGAGGCACGTTGGCTGACGCCCGAGCAGAGGAGGAGCTGGGCAGGGTGCGCGGTGTGCGCGCACTCGTGGTGGCGAAGGAGTGGTGATCATAGCTGGGAGGACGGGGGAAGGATGCGTTGAAAGAACGCACAGATGGCCGAGTAGACGTCCTGCGCGAGTCACTCGACGACACGGGATAATGAGGGGGACGTCGCTCTGGCAAGCCATTCCGACCTATGCAAACAGCGCGTGCTCACAACGATGAGAAGATGTCGTGGCATGCACTACCGCGGAGCAGCTTTGGATGCACTGGCCATCTAGGGTGGGCAGCATCTCGTGTGCGCACATACCATTGGAAGCCATATCCGTGGTCAAAGTGGTCAAAGTCAGTCAAGCGGCGGCTGCTGCTGCTGACGTATGGGCTCTCGCAAGGGCTCCGTTTTGAGAGGAGGCAGAACAAGAAAAACGGCCCCGTTGCGAAATCTATTTGGTAAGAGCCAAGCGTGGTGTGTTTCTTAGATGAGAGAGAGACAGCACCGTCCACAGTGAGGTGCAGTTGGCCCATGTGCCGTACTTGCCCTGTACCGCGCCACACTTGCGCTGTCGTCGACAAAAGGGAGGACGACGGCACGCTTACCGTGTTATGCAACGCCGTGATTAGCTCGGTTTCAGAGTAGGACAGCGCCGTTGCAACACGGAGAAAAGACGAACAACCCGTGTAGGGATAAGGAAGGATGCCCAAACAGACGGCCAACAACCCAGTGGACGACGCTATCGAGGCCCAATCGAGGACAGTGGAGCACAGCGGCGGTCCGCGAACGCCAATTCAAAAAAAAAAAATGATTTTCGAGTCCTTGTGAAGGAAAAATTGTGGAGTCACAAACTGCCTTTCAAGCAACGCAAACCAACGTTACATACATTAGCAGATTGACGATAACCTTGAATAGAAGTTTGAGAACTTGGGCGGACTGGTCAAACAAAAGCTTCTTCTTGATCCGATCCCTCTCTCTCTCTCTCTCTCTCTCTCTCTCTCTCTCTCTCTCTCTCTCTCTCTCTCTCTCTCTCTCTCTCTCTCTCTCGCTCCAATGTGATGCGGTCATTGTCATTGTCGATTGATCGCAGGATGATGGAGGGGGTGTTTTGGATGTTTACGAAGGAAAGATTCATACACTCTGTTTCAAGCTCAACGCCGCTCTGCTCGCTGATCTATCACACGCCGTCGATGCGGAACCGCCCAGCTCTCCAGGTTGTGGCGAGGAAGCTTGCAAAGGGGAAAAAAAACGAAGCAAAGGGCTTCAAAAAAAAAAAAAACAAGGAAAGAAGGAGACTCTGTCTCTCTTTCAAGCTTGCATTCAATCACCCGTTCTTAAGCCGATCCGGCGCTGCTCTCGCCCGGGGCCTGTGCGGAAGAGAACTGCTGCAGGATTTGTACCACTTGCTGTAGCTGTCCCTCCAGCTCTGCAAAGGCACGGAGATGGCAGAGAGACGGTGGTTTGAGCAACAAGGTGAAGCGGAAAGGTGATGGCAGAGGCGGACGGGAGAGCGATGACAACATCAGCCAGGTTTCATACCGCGCTTCTCCGCGTTCTTGCCACGAGCCACATTTTGCAGCTCACTCATGCGCTTGGTCACAAAGTCGATTTTACGATCAAAGAACTCGCGGGCGCGCGAAATCGTCTAGCGTGAAGCAAGCAGAGTGAGTGATTGGCAAAACATGGTCACCTGGGCTGATGAAAAGGACGCCCCGGGCCTAGGAGCTTCAAATGTCGCAGAGCACGAAAATGCGCCTTTATGTACTGACCTTCTCCACAAAATAACCGGTACCCAGCTCAATAACAACCTGGACCGAGATGGGCAAAGAGAGGAAAAAGAAAGAAAGGGAGAGCGAGCGCGCGCGGTGACTAGTGAGCGTGGTTCAACCAAGAACAATGACAGAGAGTCATGTAGGACAACAGGTCTATTCATGAGCGCATGCAACCCACCTTGCCATCGCCTTTGACCTTGCTGTTCACATACAAGCTCTCCGTGATGGGCACCATCATCTCCTTGCCAGCTGCCTCAGGCTCCACTGACTGTCATTCGCAAAAGCCACTTGTGTAAGCAGGGGCTCTTCACCGAAACAAGCATTGACCTTGTCTTGCCCCGAATCAGGCGCGTCTTGCCCAAAATTTCCTGCCTGGACATGAACCTTTACCTTGAGAGATTCCTTGGCCGAAATGTACTTGGCCTGGACCAATTTGAAGTTTCCAATCGACTGTGCAATGACTTGCAGATCCTGTGCCCAGCAAGCAAGGTCAGACTCGTTTCTGATTCAAGCCAGAAACAGAGTTGCCGCATGGCTAACAGGGCGCGACCGCGAGCTTGCACCTGGCTAATCTGGTCATGAAAGGCCTGCATTTTCTGAAACTGATACCGGAGATCTTCCGGGGACAGCATTTTCTTCTGCGCACACGAGCGAAAGAACGGTCGGTGAGAAACCGGCAGCCATTGCCCCCGCTCCATTCACATTGAGTGACAACAACAACAACAACAACAGTGTCAACACATGCACACACGCACACGCACACAGAGTACGTGTGTGCGCGCAAGCTGGGGAGAAGGGAAAGCACCAGGCCCAGCGCAGCACGTACCTCCGCCATCGTGTCAGGTCGCAAACGAGAGAGCGGTGAGAGAGAGTGAGAACGAGAGAAGAAGAACCAAAAATGGTCGACCGGCTCGTCGTCAACAACTACCAAAAAAACAGCTGTTGTCTCTTTTTTTTTAATTTTCAAGACGCATCTTCGTGTCTTCTATCTTGTCTTCGATCTTTCTTTTCTGCCCCTCTCTCTGGTATGCGCTCGGCTCGACTTTAGGAAGACTTTAGGAGGAAGGAAAAAGGGTCTGGATCGAATTCAAAAGGGTGACTGGGCCAGAGGCGTGTCTGAACACGGGACAATGGTCAGTCTTGGTTAAAAGGGGCACTTGGTGCCGCATATCCGCAGTGGTTTACCGGACAGAGGTAAAGCCACCCGACAAGAGAACATACGAACGTAGGCGCGAGGGGGTGGACTCAACGGTTGGCGTCTGGGCTCACGACGCACAAGACACTGCCGTGGCCGTGCTTCTCAACAAAACAGCGACACTTGTCAATGTTGGAGGTCACGACCTGAGCCTACATGACCGTGCCACTCGTGAGTTTTGGTTTGTGCACCACTCGAGGACCATTCCAAGTCGCTTACCTCCAACAGCAAGAGCTGATCGTAACAGCGAAGGATGTGTTGCAGGAGCTGGAGGGTGGTTTCGGCACCACAGCTGTAGCTCGGGGTGTGTAAGCTCAGGTACAGCGGAGGGACTTGGCCGCCTTGGGCACGATGTGCTGCTATATGCGAGGCCATGTCTGGCACGACGTGTTCTTCACCACCTGACACTTGAACAAGATCACAAAAACTATCATGAGACGAGAGTGCAGGTTGATGTTCAGCTGCAGCAGTGGGCCAAATTGATGCCTGGAGCTACACACCTTCGATATCCATCTTGATCAGGCTGACCACATCGAGGTCGACTTGATATTGGTGTACAAATTGCTCCCAAGAGAGCGTTGGCACAACCAGATCCCCTGTTGGCATAATGTCCCAAACACACCGGACATGAGAGGTGGCGACAGGCCGCTGGGCTGACAAGCGAGTACCTCAAGACCACCCAGATGGACCGACAACAACAACAACAACAACAACAACAACAGCGACAGCGACAGCGACATTAACAGCAACAGCAACAGCAACAGCGACAGCAAGGAAAAAAAGAAGGCGCAAAAAATAAAAAATAAAAAACTTACCGTCTCCAAGCTTGGACATGGAGTCACCAAAGCCATAATGGGCATTGCCAAAGGTTGCCGTGCCTGAGGTCTGGGCCAGGGCGTGTGCACAGACGGTGACACGCTGGTCTGCCTGGAGAAGGGCCCGATTGAGGCGTAGGTTATCCGCGAGAAGTTGGCGTGCCACTGGATCGGGCTCCACGGCCAGCACGCGAGATCCGGGGGCCACGGCCAGGGCATAGAGGGCCAGAGGACCAAGCCAGGCCCCAATGTCCAAAACCAAACTATCCTCACGCACATACTCTTTGAGGATGGCAAAGCTCTGGGGCTCCCATTGACCGGAGCAGAGGCGATCGATAAACCATTTGAAGACGCCATCGTTCTGGTGGTTCAGGGAAAAGCCATACGAGGAGCGCAGGTCCCAGGCTTCGGCACCCAGCGCATTAGGGCCAATGAGCCCAGCCATGTTTGCAGTCAACAGGGCGTTCCAAAAGTTGAGAGCTGGCAAAGTCCGAGCACCATTCAAGGTGGTAGCTGCGGTGGTGGGGGCGTCCACGTTGGTTGGCGCGGAAGTGCCCCGAGTCACAATCGGCGAACAGCTGGCCATGCTCAAAAGAGCGATGTGGTTTTGTGCAGTCGTGTCCACGGCGGGAAAGGGGCTGACCCGACCAAGACTCAGAGGAACCCACACCAAATGATGCCCGAACCCAAGCCCACAGTCAGCATTGCACAGGTAGACTGCTGGCAAGACGACCACACGGGGACCCCGCGAAGCCCCTTGCACCAAACACACGGCCCACCCAAGACCAAGTGAACAAGCGTTGAGCCAACAAGCAGCCCCGTCGCCGACAGCCCGCCTGGCTTGCTCAGCACATCTGTACTCCCCACAATGACCACGACCAGAACGACGTCAGCGTGTGGGACAAGCGCACGGTCCAATGAAAAATGTTGTTGTTGTTCCTGTTCTTGTCACACACGACTGGATGGTACGGGATTTCTGTCCGTATTGTGGTTGGGGATTGGGGATCGATACAGCCATTGCTTGATCTACATTGGCTGCCCCTTTCTCACACCCATCATGATTCTTGCTGTCTCCCTGTATATCACGCGTGTGTCTCCATTCATCCGTGCCGCCTCTGCCCTACGCCGGGCTGCCCTTTTTTCCAAAAAAAAAAGTTTGATTCTGTCGACGCGTAACGGTCAGTAGATGCCGCCTCGCTTCTTTTTAAATCACTGGATGGCGGTTTTTCACCGCAAAACAATAACACCATCGGCTGCTTCCACAAGCGGGTCTCAAACTTGAGGACAACAGCTGTTGTGGCGAATGAGCGATGCATCGAGGATTGAGGCGAGCGTCAAGGTCAGGAGAGAGCAGATGGCAGATGGCAGCCAGCCCTGAGCCTTCCCATGCCCTTCCGATGCCGGCTTTTTTTATTCATCTGATAACGGGCTGCCCTCATGCAGAGTCGACTGCATAATGGCGCCTGGCTGTTGTTGGTGCCCTGCTTCCTGGCTCAGTGCATGAGCTAATGGTTTTCACATACCCACCCATAACTTGATCCCTCACTTTCAAAGGCAGTCAAACTGGCGAGAGCGCCATAGAGCCACCTGTTGCAATCATAACGTACCCCCTTGTACCTTCCCACACCTGATCAACCTCCAGAGCATGCACGAA